GAGGAGGACTTTGGGGATTGGTGTTGGACATATGGGCTAATGGGTTAATGTTGGACTTGTGGGCTTGGGCAACACTGGGTTGGGATGTTTTCTTGATGCACACTTAACCTTTATATAAAGCTCTCTCTTATACATGAGTTTCTGTGGATTTGTTTCTCTAAAGTACCCAGACTAACACAGGAAGGAAGGGAGAACCGATCGCAATGAATGACACATAACCACACACCCCCAGTCAGGGGGTAGAACAACAGAAACCAGAGGGGAAGAGAGACAGTGTTCAGAGTGAGATTTGAATATAATTAACAATCTACAATCTATCAGGGGGCCACAATGGTTGGGGTGGGGAGTGAGGAGGACGAGAAAAAAGGAGCTGATTCCAAGGGCTCAATGGAAAGTAAGTATCTAGAAAAGAATGATGGAATGTATGTACGAATATGTCAGATTCAATTGATGTATGGTTTGCAACAATAGCTGTAAGAGCCCCTAATAAAATGATTAAAAAAAAGAAGAAATATATTACCCAAAAGTTCCAGTAATCGGTATATATCCTAGAACATCTCTGTGTAATAGCAAGGCTATTCATATCCCTATTATAGATAGATAGATAGATAGATAGAGATATACATATAGATATAGATATAGTCAGAGGGTATTCACCAGAGACTTAATCTATATATTGACTATGCAAATGGATTTGGACTTCCACTGTCATCGATAACTTTCTACCGACCACATGCTCACACTTAATTTCTGATACCATTCCCACCTTTGGATTTGGATTATATTATTTACAATTCTTGGATCACACAGGCTGGTGTGCTTCTTCCATGTGTACTTAATTTATTTAATGCCTTATTTAGATGCTGTTTTTGTTAAGATTACTTCTTGAGATAGAGCTCTTTCTTATACATATATGGGTGTCATTGGTTTTGTTTCTCTTGACAACCAAACCTAGCACAATGGAAAAATGTAAAATATTCAATGTTATCAACATTACTACAAGTATTCAAATAAAATTACATAATATTTTAGCCCAAGCAGCTTTTTCTCTTAATTTATGAAGTTACAGCATGCAGAGACTTTGATATTTGGAGTTGCATATAGCCCTTATTATATATTGCTCTTTACCATCACAACGACTCCCCAAAGATATATGTAATTATCCAAACTTTACAGATGAGAAAGATGATGTTAGAGGGGCTAATTCTCTCGACTAAAATCCCACAGCTAAGTATATGAGGTAGTTAGTTTATTGTACCAACCTGGCCGATAAACACATGTGGGATTAATTGAAGGGTGGAGCGATAAATGGCTCGGTGAGCCTTGCCTTTCTTGTCTCTTGCTCTTTGATCATTGGACCAGTGTGTGGCTTCCTTGCTTGTTCTTTGCCTCAATTTGCAAGCTACACTACCTGTGGGACACCTATCCCATGGACTGTATCACTGCAATTTGAGGTTCCTTCAAGACCTACTTTGCCACACCACTGGAATTTACATCTCTTGAGCTAGGGACTGT